CTTTCCGATCCTTGCTTTGACGTCCTCATATGTCCCACCTGTAGTTGAAACGATGCTGTCTAGGCAGGTGAACGAGACAACTTCCTTCAGATTTCTCCCGTCAATGGTGATTGGTGCTTGCTGTTGATGCTGTTGTTGTTGCTTGGGTATCTTCATCACCTCCGTCCTCTCTACATTCACCTAGAGGAAGTCCCGTTTTCACTCCTCTGCCTCTTCAGTCGACTTGTGGGTTTTTGCTTGTAGATCTTCGAGTTCGTCTGACACTAAACATAAATCGTCGTTGGCGAAATCCAAATCTTCTACGATCTTTTCATCAGTCCACCCAGCGTATGCCCCTCTTCTCGCTCCTCACGGTTTGCTGCATGATCCAGTCCAGTCGACAGCAATCAGGAAGATCATCAGTGATAGTAGGTGACAGTCTTGTCTCACTCCTCCCTGTCTTCACTTCAAAGGCTTCACTGAGATTTCCAATGTGAATCACTCGGTATGTGGTGTCTTCATATAGTTGTTGGATGAGGTTGATAAAGACTAGTGGCACTCCGTTGTGTTGAAGTAACAGTCAAATTACTTCTTGGTCGACGCTGTTGGAAACCTTTTCAAAATCGATGAAGTTGAGGTAGAGAGTTGACTGTCATTCTATACTCTGTTCTATGATGATGCGTAGCTTGGCATTGCGATTTGATCCAGACGTGATTTGTTCCTCCTGAATCCAACCAGCCTGTTCCAGTCGTAGTTTTGAATCCAGTGCATCCTTTAGTCTCTCCAGGATGATGCAGTTCAATATTTTGCTTGGAGTGGGCAGGGATAGGAACATGATTCCTCGCCAGTTCTTGCAAAGGCTTAGGTCTCCCTTCTTTTGGAATCCGACAGGGTAGCCCTTCTTCCGGTCAATCGGCAGGTACCTTTCCTTCCTTCCTTCCAAACCTTCTGCAGTAGTGGTGTAAGCATGTCCGCTGTTGTCTCTCCATCTGTTTTCAGTGCTTGTGGACGAATTTCATCTGGTCCTGCTGCTTTCCTGGCTTTCAGTAACTTTATGGCGTTCAGGAATTCGGCTTTTGTTGGAAGGCGTGTGTTCACTGGTAGTTCTGTGGCTGCTGATGGTATTTTCGGATGAACTGCAGGTGATGGTGATCGATTCAAGAGTTTTCTGAAGTGGTCAGCCCATCATTTTCTTTGTTTCCTTTCTTTGGTAACTAGCTTTCCTTCACTATCTTTCATTGGTTTCATCTGTGTTGATCTCTTCCCTCCCTGGTAGTAACCTGGTTATTTGACATAATGTTCTCAGGTCTCTGTCTCCCTTACCTGCAGCTTGTTCTGCTTCTCTTGCCAGCGTGTCGTAGAAGTGTTTTTTTTGTTTTTCCGCGCACTCTTCTTCACTTCTTTGTCCAGTGTAGAGTTTTATAGGTTGTGTTCAGTTCCTCTTTTCGTTGTTCATCCCTGCACTGCACTGGCTCGTCTTATATTTCACCATCTTTAGTGACTGGTAATGTATCTAATCTAGTCAACAGGAGATCAGTAGCGGTTGCAGAGGTTTCAAACACCCCCCACTGATGAATGCCGATAAGCATGAAACTTAGGTCAAGCAGGACCTTCTGCGGATCGCCCCCAACTAACTAAAACCCAATAAATCCCCATGGGCCCCTAAATCAAACTACTCTCTGGTGCTCATTAGTGACTTGCCTTGAGATGAGATTTCTTAAAGTTCAAATGAGAAGTCGAATGTGAGGAATGCTACTCAACGATGGCAATGGATGGAAGTTGTGCTATATCGTGAACTGACAGCAGAAGGAAATGAGGGCAGTTAGATCCCGACCCAACAGCTCAATGGTAATGTGTTGACCATAGAACCCGTAGTTTTTAAGTTCGATCCCTGGGAGCAGAGCCATGGGTAAGGACTGCTGAGGAATCTCATCCTGGGACGAAACGGTTATCCAGTGCCCGCAGGTTTCTAGCGGTTCTCCAACCCATGTCAATCTGTAGCGAACGCCAACCTGAGATTAATAAATTAATCCGCACAAACCTCCACAATGTAATATAAGTTTGTTGGTTAAAGTACTGGGTCAGAAGAACGTTCAACTCTGTGGAAATCGTTGGTCAGTACGATTTTCGTATCTATCTATTCTGAATACAAACAGCATCCTTCATAAGAATACAAACAATTAGCATCTCTAATGACTTCTGATTAAAACCAAGAGTATGTCTTGATCGTTCTTTTGCCAAAGCCTTCCTTAACAATATTCCTACTATCATTCCTTGAAAATTTTTAATGAGAAACACCCAGAGTTTATTTAGAAGAATTAATTTATGCCGTCCTCATTACACAGTAAATCGATTTCCTTTTCCTCCTTAGCCTCTTCAAAGTAATCGCTTCACTGAGTTATCAAGTGTTTTCATTACTTCTTCCAATATATACTGTTCACATTATTATTGTTGTCATCCTGTTTTGTGTTGAGTCTATGAATAATATACCGATAATAATGGCAATACTAATAAAGCAGGACCACAATTGAGGTGTTTTTATACTTGTTTGTTTTACTCAGATCATCTTGTTGTTGTTCTGTCTGACCACTGTAAACTTATTCTCTATCATATTAATTTAATGTGTGCGTGCATGTTTATATATGTATGAACTTGTCTATGAGTTTCATACTACAGGCTGAAAACAAGTAACCAATGTGTAGAGAGATGTAGAGATTTCTTTAAAAGGGAATTTATCATTGTTAATGTTTGGATATTTCGAACTGGATGACGATAAATAGCACGCTGTTTTTCAACAGAGTTACACTGTCAAACAACTGAAACGCCGTCTTCAGCTAAAAGTAACTAGAAAGAAACATTTTTAGGAGGTTATCTTTCTACTGCATGAAAAAAGCACAATCATGTATTATTTCATTTTTAAAGAATTCAAGGATATCAGACTGTCTTAAACGAAAGGAACAGTTATCTGTTGGTCCTTGTAGTTTTGCGTCGCTATACTGGATAGAACTGCCAGATCCCATTTGGCAGATGGGCTCATACCTGGTTGCCTAAATACTGGCTAAGTGATTTGATCCCGTACACTCAGGGCAAACTACAGGTATTCACAAATAACAACTTATACTTCTTGCACAAGAGGTGGCTATCGTGACTTAGAAGCTTAGTGGATAACGCCGTGGAAGTTGAAGCAACTGGTTCCGTGTTCGAATCTGGGTGAGCACAATATCGCTCACCGAGAGGCAGATACACTTGACTGACGAATCCCAAACAGGATGAAATTCATATACTTGTTTCCATAACTAGCCACCAAGTAAACTACAACACAATGTTAGGAATATCCGTTTCCTGCCAGCTGTAAAAACTGTAAGGGATTGAGTTACTGTTCAACTTAGTAAGGAACAACTGAGTGTCTACTGTGTATCTTAGGAAATAAGGTACTCTATAAATCCTAGTTTCTATGACACTGACTAAATCCTACAGTTCCAGTGGTTAAGTGTGGTAGATCAAATAATATAAAATCTTGTTACACTCTGTTGAATGTTCAGTGTCAAAAGGAAGTTCAACTAAACACCACATTCAGAAAAATCTCGTATCATGGATTCGCTTCAGCTGCCTTCAACTTTTGGGGAAAACCATGATAGGTCAATAGAAAAACATCATGAACATGCGTTTCACATAAGACCTTCATGTGCTCGGCTGATACTTAGGCAAGATTAGAGTTATTCCGTTTTAAAAGTCAAATGTAACGAATATTTTACAGCAAGTAAAAAAGGTTGGAATTCTGATATGATGACCTAATTGTGCACCAATTACAAAGGCCAGGACTAAAAGTTGATGAGGAGAACAAATGCAAGTAGAAAGCTTTCCATACTGTTCTGAGTCTTTTTGATATCTTTTTGACGCAGCTTCATTTCAAAGGAAATAAATGTAACTTGTTAAGACATTTCGCATGATTCTGACAACTGTCTAGTGAGTATGTGTGATTGACAAAGTTCATAGCTCAACAGTGTATTACTCATGCAGTTTCGCATCAAAGATTACAACCATCGCACTCGACACACGACAGTGTTCACTTATTTTAGCCTGGGAATTAAGTTTAATAATAGCCCCTGAAAAGCGTTAAATTCCTTTGCAAGAGGATTGTAAGCTATAAAGCACTGACTTTTGGAAACAGTGCTATCTTGTCTCGGCACAAATTTGCTTAGCGTATCACTACTATTGATGAGAATCTTCTAACATAGAAATAGCTTAAAATTGTGAGCTGAGGAAAAGTTTTTGGAAGTCACCTTACAAGTACACAGTTTTCAGATCTAAAAGTTGACTAATAAGAAATTACGCTGGTGTACATCAGTAACCTAGTTCAAGCCTCAAAGGACACAACTGACAAATGCTCTTCGCATGACTAATTGATTAAATTTCATTTATGGAATGAAAAACTATGAAGTTGACACTTTTTTATTACCACCACTTGTTATTTCCAATAAGTTGCTTTCTGAAAGTGGATCAGTATCAGCTTACAAATTACGGATAGCATTACTCAAAGTTTGAATGATAAGTACCCCCCAAGTTAATGTACCTGGATTTTTAATTCAAAGAGGTCATTGTGATGTAGACTGTGATTATCGATTAACACTGAGTGCTTCCCTGACGCAGACATCACTATGCATAAATAAAACATCAGAGGAGATAAGAAGTGGCCAGTAAGTGGGAGGAAATTTCTAGAATTTTATCTGAACAGTTTGCTTCTTAAATATCGGCTTCCTTAGGTGATTGTAAACTTGTCAAGCTAGAAGCCACAATCAGTACAACTTCGATTCAACTCTCCTACAAAGTTTTACTGATAGTATCTTTTTTGGCGATGCAAATTTACCTAAACCACAAACCTAAAGGATTTTTACTTCATATTTGGAAAGTAAGTTATCATTCGATGCTATCGAACGTTTTTCATAATAACTGAATATTTTTTCTGAATTCTGTCACTGCATTGTTTGCCACAAAATTCTTTTTTAGGCAGTTCAACTGGTATGAAACCACAGTATAACACAAGTCCTATGAGACCGAGCTCAGCTTATCCTTTCAATAAGCTATCTCACCCAGACTGTTCGTCTTCCTCTTCCTCATCATTGTCATCATCATCATCATCGACAACTATGGCAACTGCTGCTAACCATTCAAGAGATTTCAATTCTGACCGTTCATCCCCATCGAATATTAAGGATATGAAGCATAATCCTCACCTGCATCCTCCACACCAACACCACTACCACAATCATCCTCCTCAAATGTTATCAATGAGTCCACCAGAGACTGGACTACAATTTGATCCTATTACACAGCAAAGTTTATCTGCTGCTGCTTCTTCTTTTGTCAAATCATTAACTGGTTTTAATTTTAATAATTCATCAACAGGATTTTTATTTCCAAATCCCCCACTTTCATCCTTGCCAACAAATTCCACAGCGTTTGGATTAAATCAAAATGGACCATTATCAATACAACAAGCCCAGCTTGCACAACCACCAATGTTACTGAATGGAATGGGCTGTTTATCCAATACAATACATCACTTACGATCTAATTCACTGAATCGGACCTCATCGACTCTTGTTAATCCATACTCACTTGGGCATGAGATGTCATCGAGTAATTTACAGTCCCCAAGTAGTGTTGAATCATTGCATTCGTTGTCCACAGATGAAAGTCCTACATCCAGTGGAATGAAACGAACATCATTGACTAGTACAACTGGTCATTATGTAGTGACAGCTTCAGCGACAGCAGCGATGACGATGACAACAACAAATTCATGTCCAACACCAGCAAGAAGACGTCATCGGACAACATTTACCCAGGATCAACTACAAGAACTGGAGTCAGCCTTTCAAAAATCTCATTATCCAGATATTTATTGTCGTGAAGAACTGGCAAGAATGACGAAATTAAATGAGGCTAGAATACAAGTGAGTATAAAACTTGTGAATGATCTCGTTATCGTCATTATTACTAACTTCACTATTATTGTTATTTGAAATTTTCGCTAAAATGGATGTATTTGACAAAATGAGGTATAACCAATGTTTAGTTATTACACATTGAAGTGACAAAGAGAGACAGCCATCAAAAATGAACCGTTTAACTTATATCCAGAAAAGAAAAGTATTTAACACTGGAAATACCATGTTTAATGAGCACATCTGTGATGACATCTTTTGTTTCAGTCCATTTCACTAACAACCCCAAACATTTTGTCAATCTCAGAATTTTAGGACTGTATAGAAGTCCAAGCACTTTGGATCTAATTGTTCATTGTATTAATATTCATAAATACCTGATACACTCGTTGATCACTAGAGATCAACCAGTTTCATATTGTCTAATTCTAACTGCTGATCGAGTTATATTGACTCATTACCAGTGAATGACACTGACAGGTGTTAAGATCGGAAATAAGAATTCAATCTCCAGTAATGTATAATGTATGAAATGTAAAACGTAGTAAAGAAGACTGCTAGTTGGTGATTTAAGAGGAAACGAATCGCTCAGCTATTTATGTCACAACTGAAGTACTAAATCCCAGCAATCTAACTACTTATTAACTGGCGTGTTTCGTAGATAACAGTGCATTATATCTTGCCGATTAGTTGTGAAGCATTTTTAAGAAATAGCAAGCGTTTTGGCCATAGCTACCTTATCAGATCTTACCGCATGCGATGAAGTCGCTTTGTAAACATTACAGAAGTAAGACCACATGAGTATGCTGTGAACCCTTATCACTCATGCCATGACATTATCTGCCTGAATGCATCATTTTATACGGAGTATGGTTAAGCTGGAAGGAATTTGAGATTACAGAGAGTAAGATATGGCAAGTCTCCCATAGTAGATTTGATCCTTGAAAACAGGAACAGAGTTTCTTCAAAAGGTAGGCAAAACAACTGAGACTGATGGTCAAATGCTCCAGAAGGTGAGTAATGTAATTAACTACAGTGGTATAAACAAAAAAATTCTGAGCTTTTCTTGAGTCTTTGCCTTTTGTACTTACTCCTTTTCAGCTTTTCTCGGTATTTTCGATATCTCAGCAGACACCCTGACGTAAAGTATGAGAACCTGCACTGATACACAGTTATGTCAGGTTCCAATCCATTTATGTATACCCATCTTGGTGTCCTTCCTGAAAACTAAAAATACAGCCGAGCGGACATCATATAACTAAGGAACAGAATTGCGCCATATGTACAATTCCGTTTATATCCGTTTATTCGTACGTATAGTATTCTGCTCATTTTAAGATAACTATTTTGTGAATTTAAGAGGTATACAAATGTATTTCTAATAAGTGGGTGTGTCATATAAAGCACGTCCTGCTTTTGTTGATGTTATCTTTGAAAGAGATTGGTTTCCAAGGTAAACTCTGTTGACACCACAGTTGGGCAGTTGAAAAATTACTCAGATGTGAAAAAAATGTCAACGTGAACCGTGCAATTTGTGAGTCATTTGCGAATTGATCATCCTGTTTTATGTATACCGATCTGTGTAAGTCAGCTAGACAGATTTAGGGGATTTGAACAATTCGACTGTGTCGGCTGAATTTGTCCGGGCACACCGGTAATAAGTTCGGCATAAAATCAGAGAAGCCACTGTCCTGTGTGTTAGATCACTCTGATCTGACTAGTGAGACCTACACATTACCTTGAGTGGTTTCTGACTATTCAAGTAGTTCAGTAATATATTTCATGAGGTCGTGTTCCCTCAGCCGACGGTGAAGGCTGTTCTAGTTAGCAAAGTAAACAAAAAACTCACTCTGTAATATGCAGTAAATTCAGATAATAAAGGAATTATACTGAAATGATATATACTGTAAGCCTGCGGTATGCAACTAATTGCAGCTTTATTTTGATAAGACAATGAAAGCGGTTGAAATGGATATCTGCTTTACCTGAGCTCCATGACTGTTCGTACTATGCAACCGATAGGGAATCATTGTCTATTTTTTTGTAAATCTGAACTTGGATCACGCGGTTCAACAGCTACAGACATGAACACTCACGTGTGCAATTCAAGATGGTAACATACATTGATTGATCACTCAACAGAAATTCAAAGTTGATCGAGAAAAGTCAGTCATAATATGAGACTGTAAATCAATGAGTGTGAAATAGCGTGTATATATATATATATATATATATATATATATATATATATATATATATGAGTATCCCATCACTATGCATGCAGTGTGTAAATTTTATCCACCTGGTGATGAATTAGGATCTAGTCCGCACAGTACTTATATCCAGTCTCACTGAGGTTTTGTTTTTCCAGTCTGAAAACAAAGCTTTTCATCTACAGTGCTCACAGGAATGCAATCTTAGCAACAGGAATTGACTCAGTATGCATTAGAACAGTATACGAAGGGAAATAAGGCAACTAGATAAGTTAGTAATCATGCAATCATGCATTTAGGTAAAAAAAGGAACTCATCAGATAATGATAACTATGCGCAGACAGAGGCATAGAGTATGCTGGTAATCGGAACGGTAGATTGAGTTGGTAAGGGTTTCCACATTGTTTAAAGTCAAGAATATCTGCTCAAAGCAGATGGGAGTCACAACTCAATTGATAGACCGATGCGTTAGCGAATTCTCAGGTCACTAGTTCAAGCCCTATCACAACTCATGATTACTACTACTACTACCATCCAGTGGCCCAGTGGTAACGAGCTGGACACGGAACCTGAAGTTCCCGGATCTGGCGAGGTCATGGTTGTGTACTGCTGAGGAGTTCCATACCAGGATGAAACACATGACCACTGCTCCCAGATTTCCAGCGTTTTTCCCAATGCCATTAGTCCGTGACGAATACCAAACTGGAACCATTTGACCAAATATGTAGAAGAGTGTTTTGTAATAAAATTATTCTCCCTTTCAGAACGGAATAGATAAATATTTCATTCTTTTAAAGTAATCTGTAGATAGGCTGAAATAGCTAACAGTGAAAGTAACATTCTATCTTCCCCTCACTCTGTTTCCCTTACTTGAAGTTTATGTAAAGTAAAGAAGAAAGTTAAAGGAAAACTGCTGGTGGACACCATAACCACAGAAGACTCATTAACGCCAAAGAGATAATGACGACGTTCGGTAGAAAGGAAGGCGAAGCGACAGAAAGACAGCGAGTGAACGGGGGAAACTATTTCCTATCGTGGTTAATTTTCTGCCACTCTATCTGGACCATATGATTCCGTTCTCTTTAAAAAGAGAAAAAAAATAGTTATCGTCTTCATTTTTTACTTTAACGAATGTTTAACTGACGTTTTACTCGCGTATATGCATGTACGTACGTGCGCATAAGGTATAATATCTTATTACATTCTCGTGTTTCAGTGGGAATGTGTTAACTGACTACAAGTTTAGAAATATCAGTTTTTTCCTTGTTATTCATAATACTTTGACTGTTTGACTTTTCTTTCTTCCCTTCTTATTTTTCCTTTTCTCATGCATCCTCTGTCTCCTTCATTGTTTTTCCACCCCAGGGAAAGATTATCTACTTGTTTTTCTCAAGTTAGATCTACAATAGATGTATATTTATTTATGCTTGTGTTTGTATGTGCATACGTGTATCAGAGGGGGACAGGGAAGGTAGGGTACTAGGTTTCTACTGAACCTTTTCCTATGTTTGTCAACCCCACAGAATTTGGTAGAAATTCCTGGAATATACGTATGCAATGGGATTTAACAAATTCATTTAAAAACTACTTATCGTTATTATTATTCACTGAATTTAGATAAAATGACTTTATTTATTTCCTTGAAAAAAAGGGGAAATAGACTAACTGGTCTTAGTCAATAGTTGGACATTTTTCTAAAGATTATTTCATCTGTCTTTAGCTACCATGAAGTAAGAAGTTAGATAACATGAAATCGGGTGCATACAAACAACAAACAAGTCTATAAAGCATCAGTAAGCACAGTCGTCGGGATATATCTCAGCGGGAATCATTTAAACTCCTATCCACTTCTGAATTTTAAGTAGGTATTCAGATAAACAAAAATATGCTTATATATATAATACTGAATTCTCATTACCTAGTTCAATCTATCTTCTGATATATCTAACTTTCTGTTGATCATTTAATCATTTAACTAAGCAAACTGAGTATAATTAAATTATTTTCAACCCGTTTCACTTCGTTTACCTATTTTGTTTGTTTGCCAAAATGTTTATCTATACCATTTTAAAAGTGAATTTGAACGATAGAAAAGAAGAATTTTGGTTTAAGTGATGATCGAACAGAATATATCTTCATTACTTATTTATCCCTAAGGAACAAGTCAAATTGGTTTCATAAGTATACTACTCATGTGAAGTACATAGAGGCAGAAAACAGTCTGTGTGTTGATGAACTATCAATGAAATAGACTCTAGAATTTGTCAGTCGGTATTCAAAAAATTTTGGCAATATTTGGAATGTTTGGGTAGAAATAAAGCCCCTAGCCTTGATGTTTTCATTCCTCGATTCTGAAAGAGAATATACGCATAACGGATAATGGATGGCAGTGGAATCTAGGTCACGCGCTTAGTCTTATTTGGGACTCGTCAATGGGATGGACCTGGATTCCACTGCTAGTCACTACTTAACATTAGCATCGAAACGAAATCACTATGAATATCGAGACATCCACACAAGTGCCCATAAGATAACAGTGATGAATGAATTCGGTTCAATCGATGACGGAAAATTAAAGGCAACAATATCACAGCCCTTAATATAAGTCATATGAATGCCGGAAATCGTGACTAAGGTATAAGTGAAGTGAATGGTGATAATAAAAGATAAAATTTTACGATTTACCCTTGCCTATAGTGATATAATCGATCCAAAGTTCAGCTTGTAACTGATTTCAGGTGAAATTTGGTCGTTTCCATTTACATACAGATTAGCCATCTCTTTGATTTTATAGAAGTCAGTCGGTCAAAAAATTCAATCACTATATAACCGTAAGGTTGGTTGACTAAAAAATGTAACGCATTTAAAAGAAAAAACAATTTAAAACGCTTTATATTGGTGAATGTCTAATGCATTTATAAACAGTGTGCTTACTGCTTTACTGTATTCGACAGGATAGTTTGTTTTGAAACTGATAGAAAATCTTAAAGTAGTGATGTTCACTCGTAAAGTGAAATATCTGAATTAAGAATAATTTAATAAAATGATACATTTTCATAGTTATTGGTCAGCAAACAAAAAGTTAGTGATATTCTACTGACAACTTCAGTGATTACTTTCAGCAATAAATTAAAATCATTGTGGTTTTCTAAGATAGTCATGATAGTTGAAGGTGAAATGAAAACCGGAATTCCATAGGGATTTGAACCAGTCGCCTAAGGGTTATCAGTCTCTTATTCTACTACTTAAGGCATGAAACAGAGCTACTGATCAGCCCATGATGTAACTTCATACTAATTCACGAATAGACACATTCTGAACACGCTTAAACTTGAGTTGTGGAGGAAATCGTCTTCAAAAATGTCAGCTGAAGCGCCAAAGCTTAAAATTCGAAATCAAATCACGTATACCGCAAATATTAGGCCACTTACCTTGACTATCACAATATAGACATCATTGGTAGAATCTGACCACTAGATACAGCGAGACAGTGTGATATTCGTTGCTGTTCAAATACTTTATAACGTGTTTATTCTATTTATTCAATTTTTAGTGGCAGTAGAAGTAGTTGAGTAAATACGCTTCTATGTGTCCATTGGGAAAATTTAGTTTTACTGCAGTTAAAAGTGCTTCTCATTTATGAGGTCCATCAAACATCAAAATTAAGTGTATAACTTCTTCTATGTTGTCACTAATCATCCTACAATATGGTATATTTCTGAAGTGAGTGAATGGCAAATATTTGAAAACTAGGTAGGCATGAACACAAAACAAATTGAAGAAGATCTAGAGCAATTTATATGGACAATGCGATTCCAATTCACTTGGAAAGTCGGGAATCCTATATTGTTCGTTAATAACTGAATACATTAGCCATTACCGACTAAAAGAAATTAGTTTCACCTTGTAGGTATAAACAGGTTTCCTAACATAATGACTTTTCAGGTATAAACTGCTTCTAAATAATTTATGTAATAAATAGATTTCCCCGATTCGGTTACTGTCATATAGTTTTTAGTATCACATCGTACGATTTTTACCTTATACAAAAACATTTTCACTAGTTATTCGCGAAATATTGCTAGTGCACCTGGACATATTAATGTTTATTCAACCTGATTCTCAGTATTCTATTGAAATGATGACCATACGAGCAATAAATATTTACCTACAGTTATATCTCAAAGATTTTGTGGATAAACTAAAAGTCATAAGATTTGTTAGTGTGCAATGAAAGTTAGTTGTGGTAGACTCGATTAATGATATGAACTTTCTCATAGAAAATGACGCCAAAGTTAACTCTGAGCGTTGGGGAAAACAAGTTAATCAATTTCAAAGTAATTCTTATTCAATATTGTAAGTGATTTTCTGGGTCAGTGTAAAGCAAAGATTAGTATATAGCCATCTCTTTATATTTTAGGATTGTTTTTCAGTACAGAAAGCCACAGATTTATTAGGGATAAAATCTTGCTTCACCAGGCTCCACACCAAGCACGTTTTCACTCAGTTACTGGTTTAGAACTCAATGGCTAAAGATTTCCAACCTTCATCAATTTTCTATGCATCATGACCAATATCCATTATGGCCAGATCTTACGGCCCCAAGCACGTTCGACAATAGAATTCTAGGTCACATCTAATAACTCTAAGTCATTTTTTGGGATTAGAATTATAATTATTCCAGCTAAAAAAAACCTGGTAATATGCTAATTTTTATCTCAAGCATGTTGAGGCAAACTATTAACTATACAGATTGTTGTTCATACTGTTGTTAGGAGGCGCTCAGTGACGATTAGAGAATTTTGAACAGTTAGAAAGTGGTATCTCTGAAAAAAGGAGTTACATTACCCTTTATTCTTTTCATGCTTTTATAAACAATGGTGGCCTAAATGCTCCTCATATGTGCATGATAGTGATTGCACAAATTATCCATCACATATATATATATATATATTATTATTATTATTATTATTATTATTATTATTATTATTATTATTAGTCCCTTGGGTTTCTAGTGGAACATAGGGCTTCAGTAGCACGTCTCCAGTGACCTCTATTCTCTGAGATCTTTTGAACCTAATTCCACGACAGCCCACAACCTCTCATTTCCTCCTCGCACGACCTCCTCCATGTCACCCTTGGACGTCCAACTCGTCGCTTCCCATGGGGATTCCACTCGAGGGCTTGGCGCGTGATGTCCTCAGTCGGCCTTCTCAGTGTATGCCCAATCCATCTCCACTTCTTTCCAGTGCATATTTGTTGCGTGATAGGTTCTTGTTTGGTTCGTTCCCAGAGCTCCTTGTTGCTTATTCTTTCTGGCTATCTGATCTTCAGTAGCCAGAGTAAGCAGTTATTGATGAATGTCTGTAGTTTATTGGAAATCCCTTTCGTGACGCACCAAGTCTCTGAACCATACAGAAGCACTGACTTGACGTTGGTGTTGAAAATCCGTATCTTGTTCCACATGCTGAGTGCAGAAGATCTCCACACTGTTTTCAGGCTAATGAACACCTGTCTTGCTTTTCCGATTCTGACTTTGACGTCCTCGTCTGTGTCACCACCTGTAGTTGAAACAGTGCTTCCTAGATAAGTGAAGGAGGTTACTTCCTTCAAGTTTCTCCCGTTGACGGTGATTGGAGTCTGTTGTTGGTGGTGGTGGTGGTGCGGTATCTTCATCACTTCTGTCTTCTTTACACTCACTTCACTTGAAGTCCCGTCTTCGCTGCCTCTTCTATCAACTTGTTAGTTTTTGCCTGCAGATCTTCAAGTTTATGTGACATCAGGCACAAGTCATCGGCGAAATCCAAGTCTTCTAGGTTCTTTTCCGCAGTCCAGTGTATCCCCCTCTTCTCGCTGCCCACTGTTTGCTGCATGATCCAGTCCACTACAATCAGGAATATCATGGGGATAGTAGACAACCTTGTTTCACTCCTCTCTTCACTTCAAAATCATCACTGAGCTTCCCATTGTGAATTACTTGGCATGTGGCATCTTCATATAGTTGTTGAATGAGGCGGATAAAGGTTTGTGGTATTCCGTAGTATTGAAGCAGCTTCCAAATTACCCCTCGTTTGACGCTGTCAAAGGCCTTCTCAAAGTCGATAAAGTTGAGGTAGAGAGCTGATTGCCATTCTATACGTATATATATATATATATATATATATATATATATATATATATATATATATATATATATATATATATATTAGGTTGCATGTCATATCCATCGCATGATTTACTGACACTAGAAAGCTATGTGAATCTCGCTGAGTGGGACAGGATATAAACTGACAATCGAAGAAAATAAAACAAGTCTGTATTTTTTGGAGATTTGGATTTATATAGGTCAGTAATAGGATGGTAATCAGTTTGACTGTGAAATTCGTGCTGAAATTCATGGTTTTGGGAAGTGGACGTTCAACTAGTGGGTCATAGGTTTGAATCCAGTTCCATCTATGGCAGTTGGGCAACCGGGTAGTATAATTAGCCCACACATAACAAGCATGGCTTACTGCCTACTGGATGAATATGCATAAGGTTGCTGAGTAAGTTTTGTTTTGACTTTTATCCGTAAAAACTGCAATGTCCATCGAAATCAGTTGATCAGTTCTGAAGGTTATCTACTAAGTCACGTGAAAGGAAAATTTAGTTTATCCTGTTTGATTTTACACAGTAGAAGTCAATCGATATGAACGCCTGATTAACTTTGGTTTCACGCTTGTTAATAGTCGTCAGTATGGTACACTTACAAATTTGGGAAAACACCTGTCACCACAGAGACTGGAAGTTTTGACAGTCAGTATCGAAGTCAGAGACTGTGACAATGAACAGAACTCAGTTCCAAAAATGCATTTATAAAAAATGGTTTGATTCCATTTTTCAATCTTTTCTATCTGTATTTAGTACTTTCAAGACTACTAATAACATTATCCTCGTTTCTTTGTGTCTCAGTTTGCTAACTTTTCTTTTGGTATTTGTGTTTGCGAAGTGTCTCATTGGGCTCTTATGGGAATGAATTGTGATGTATCTTACTGATATACCTACCTAATTTTAAAAAGTGCTGAAAGGTAACGTAGTCTGAACTTATATCATACAATGAAAGCGTGAGTCTCGCAAGGAAATGGGCAAATATGTTGGCAATATTTATCAAAGAGCATACAGACAGAATCCTGATGGTCTCTTCCAGTCATTGACCAACAAGTAATGAAATACCTTTTTTCAAAATATTTCATTTTTATTTCTCTAAACTTCTCAAGAGCTAACAGTTAAACAATGCTTTATGAATATGTACTCACAAATATTTGTATCCGTTCTCAAACTAAATGAAAATATCGTGTTCGTTTCATTACTTTTAGGTTTGGTTTCAAAATAGGCGGGCAAAATATCGTAAACAGGAAAAGCAGTTAGTAAAGCAACAACAACAACAACAGCAACATCATGAACATAGACATCTTCAAAATGTACAATATAACCAACCATTTCATGGTTTACGTAATGCATATCATACAGTTGGCCCAAATCCACATCTTCAACCTTATCCACACTCAAGTATTTATAATGGTACGACTATTCCTCTGACATCAAATCTGCCTAGTAGTAGTCATTCGTTATTTGAAAACATCAACAATATGCACGACAGTAATAATGATGAAAGTAATAATAACAGCGGTGTGAATACTGATGGTAGTTTATCTTATTCTGCTTGCATGTCATTACCAACTAATTTAATTGGTACATCTGCCCTGGGAATTCCCCCTGGTTTGACTAACAGTAATGCTTTAATGAGTTATTATGGTTCCAGTTTGCCTTATATGCCAAGGAAGGTGTTCACTCCAACATTTAATCCAGCATATCAGCAGCACAATCCACTGTCATCCCATAATAATAATAATAACACTAGTGGTCATAGACGAGGAAATATTTTCCCTCTGACCAATTCTCCTCTGCCAAGTAACATGGAGTTACCATCATTATCTTCACCGATAAACACTGAATCACCGAACCACACTAGTTCAGCTTCATCACCTCTACTTTCATCATTGTCAACGGCACCAAATTTTTCTGGTAATCCAGTAGCATTTCTGCCAGACTTATCTTCTGGACCGTTGATGCAAAGAGCTGCAGCCGCAGCCGCTGCAGCTGCTGTAGCAGGAATATGTCAGGCACATACTACCAACCCGTTAGCTAATGATCAGTTTATATTTCAGGCTTCAAATTCAAATTTAATTTCTGATATTAAAGGGTTGAAATCTCATTTTTCCACTTGTTTATCTCCTGAACATTTATCATCTCATGCATTAAGTAATACGTCCAATTCAATGAAATGGAGTAGTTCACCTCATGAAAGTACTGGAAAAATGGAAGTTGATAATCCAAAAATGATCTCCTCAGTTGAAAGTATAAGCTATTCACAACAACAGACAGAAGATTTGCCAACTGAACAAAATAATTATTCAATGCAACAGAATAGCGACTATCGTTTAACCTTCTCATCTTCATCGCCATATAAAAATTTTAAGCGCCAAAATATATGTGAACAACTCAAACAAACAGTTGATTCAATGGAACCAAGCGTAAACTTTTCATCTGATGTTTCATTCATCAACGATACATGTGCTAGGAAACCACCTCAGTTATCACATTCGCTTCATAACCAGCATCGCCCGGAACTTATAACATCGGGTCAGGGGTGTGAATTCCCGAAACACAGTAGTTTGGATCAGCTTACGCTGAATACAGTACTTCCATATAATAACGCTAACAATAATAACAGTGATACTCAGTTTTTCATTCCATCATTCTCCTCAGAGCATTCGAATTCATTAAATTCCAGTATGATGGCTTCATCAACTGCTTTAGTTTTGAATGCAAATAAAACTGTATGCAGTACACTAACACCAATGTCGTCTTCAGTTGAAGATACTATCCATCAAGAATCTACACCCAACATAATCTCATTGAGAAAAATTGCAAATCTAAGAAATTTTAGTAAAATAAACAATATTTACAATAGTCATTATTGTGAAAATCTGGATCCCACTAAAAATAATGCGACAGAAACAATTTCAAATCAAGAGGTTTCGTCAGCTATGTCTTCAACAGAATCGACATCATCCTGTTCACCATCAATACCCCAATCATCAGTTAATCGTTCAATGGGATGGAACTTCTCACAATCTCATTTTGCAAAAAATCGCAATCATATAACTAACAATAGTAATATTAGTAGCATGTATCTTAATAGTGGAGACTCGCCCTACTTGAATACAACAAATGATGTAGGTACAGTAAGTGGACAACAAAACTATGATGGAAATGATGCAGGTTGCAGTACTGTTAATAATAATGCTCTGGACATTGAGCGTGACCATTCTAATATCTACCACAACCAAATTACTGATTTCTTACATTTAAATGAAACCAATTCATTAACATCATCTAATCTACCTAGGTTTGTGCCAAATACAGAGAATGAAAGTTCATCAACGACTGAGGGGACACAGTCGAGTTTGAAAAATGTTCCGGTCACTTCAACAACTTCTGTATTTACAAATCGATATTCACATTTAGTAAGTTCAGAAATCGTTTTTGTGAAATGAATGTATTATGTATGTATGCAGGTATGATAACTACAATTTAGGTTGAAAAACAAATGCTTAGATGCATGGCTAAGATTGAAACAAAATACAGTAGCTTCTCGCTACGGTAACCTACTCACCTCAGTCGAACGACATCTGGTAACGAAGGACCACTGAAAAGTGAAATCTCACTAGTGTCCTACATGTTATCAAATAGTCTATGATGAGATTTATCTTATTGATTGAAATCTTAACATGATAGTTTGAGGTAGTCTCTTCCACAGTAAGTAATCTGCTTGCAATCTTCATTGACGTCAAGACTAAGACTATGGCAGCTTTATTTTCTGTAGCGCTGACTGATATCAGTAGCCATAAGTCAGTCAAATCAGTTAGCAGTGTTTACCATCCAGATGGAGTTAGTCAGTCTACTCATCTGAGGCTGATATCACTAGGGATTTGGTTTTCTGAGCTGGATCAGTCAGGGTAAACACTAACAAGATCGATTCTGGAAGACAAAAACAGTTTTCTATGGGCTAGATGATTTCGACCTGGCTAACAAGTACAAATGACCTCCCTAACTGTTTCAATGTCCCACATATCGGTCAGCATATATGTCACACACCGATTACTTTTCACTTAAGCGTATATTTTGCTTTTTATTGGCATGAAGCATACAATATATAGGATTAAAGTAACAGCAAAGATTGGGAACTGTAACAGAGAGTGGTTCTGTTGCATTTTGCTTATCGAATGTGCTATACAGTGTAAAATTACTATTAATAGGATGATGCTTTCGATACAATTCATTGATCGTAGTTAAATCAAGTTAACTCCACAGACTAGAAAAAATGGTTTATAGAGTTGACTTTCCTCTCCTTCCATTAGGCTAAAAGTAGTAGGGTTCGTCTAGATATCTCGAACAGGTACTAAATTATTCTGATTGAATGTTTTGGCGTTAGTTCGATAAACTGAGCCCCTGTCATTGATCTCTTTCTCCGACCACTCACCTAAGTTATTTTTTAGGAATGCCACGGTGTCCCATCCTACTATTTGACTATATGCATAGCCATCGTCCAACTTTGCTCAAAAGTCCTTGCTTTAGTAGGATCCACCAGTGTTGATATAAGTTGATTTCTACACTCGAACAGCCCAACTTACCGTAGTCGACTAATATGACTCATGCATTTGACCTGGCAATAACTGTAAAAAATTTTTTGGGTCAAAGTCTTTTGTTTAATTTAATTGGTAGGGTCTTAGCCTTCACATCTATTTTCAAAGTATGTTTGTAGTCTTGATACCCAATATTATGTCAGGCTTATTGAGAATCTTATAAAAATTCTCCTATATACCCTTCCTGTGTGCTAACATGCCACAAGTTTGAATTCTGTCTGTTCGGTGTTGCCATTACTATTATTATTGCGGCTGACGTAAGTGCAACCACTAGTTATGGTATTTTTCTCGCAATTTCTCATCCATTTAGTGGTAAATTCACGTAGATAATGAAAAGTATTAATACAAAACTAATTATTTAGTTAGAAACCATTCAGGCTGATCTGTAGCTTTTGGTTACCCAAATCAGAATGAAAGAAACACCAGATGACCGTTCAGCTCATTCGGGGTAGAGCTCATCAGCGGTGTATCCTGACAAATTCAGATCATACAGCCGAATTCGTTCAGATCATTTGAATCTACCTGGCTGATATGTATGGACGAGTAAACTTTAAATAGGATGATCAATTTTCAATTTGATTTATGTAGATAATTATTCAGAAGTAAGGTTTGTAACTAGTATACAGCTTCCAAGCAGGTGAATTGAAACATTTTACCTGATAGTTTCAGCCGTGTGAAAAATTCAAAACGTAATGTTTATATTTTGCTCCATACTCACAGAGTACTTACTGCTCCTTATAGTGGTATTGGCAATTATCTTCTGTTCGGGTTTCAGACCATTTGCTTCTCCATAATTAGTCATCAGTGGATTAGTCTGTTCTGAGGAATGTTGCTCTTGTCTAATCTTGATGTATACCACGATGGAAAGAAAAGCTCCTTTTTTGACACTTTTTAGTCATATTTATCTCAGTAATCATCCCCATCATAGCTATCCAAAGTTCTCAGCTTACTGCTAAAATTAACAGAGTGTACAATCGAATTTTAATAAAATAAATGATGAATATGCTTTCCTTTAATAGTTAGAAATTTTCTTATTTCAATTCATTTTACTGGTGATGAAATAAACTTCTGATATTTATGAGTAGACAAATAACAGTGATATTAATTGATAAGGTCTCTGAGACGAATGAGAATTCTTAATCTAGAGGTAGTATTCATCACGAACTGACATTAGTTAGGAAATCGTTGAAAATCTTGGAGAACTAGAGTTCGATCCCTAGCCGGATTGTGGGTGTGTACTTCTGAGGAGTCCCATACTAGGAAGAAACAACTGTCCAATACTCCCAGATTTTCAGTCGTTCCACAACTGATATCAGTCCGTGATGAATACCAACTTGAAATCAATAAATATCCACAAACCTCCATTAGTTGGAGAAACAGTAAAAACCTAGGAGCACTAAAAATCAGTTTCACACCAATTTTAAACTACCCATCAGTTCATATCCATAACTCCACCAGGAATTTGGTACACCACTATCAGGATAAAACAGCTATCCAATTCTCTTAGGCTTTGAGTGTTTCTGCTACTGAACTCACTTCATGATGAAAATTATCTTGGAATTAGTAAACCCTACAATAAATAAAATTTACAAATAATCGTAAATGCAGGTGGTATGCAACTGAACTTACGCAGATTCAGGGATGTCTCTTGTTTTGATGTTCACAGTTAAGAATGAGTGACAGTTCTTGGTTTTGTAGTGGATGATCTATCAGTAATAGTAGTAGTAGTAGTGTGAGTAATAATAATGTTAGGATGAGGAGGTCATTATTAGTACATTTAATTTGTGAAAAAAAGATTAATTGAAGGCTACTTTTTAAAAAGGAGGGAATATTTACCTCACTTATCAATATTTTATTATTAGGTGACAGTTGGATGGGAAAATATCTGGAGATTCTTTTATTTTACAGTTCATTCTCTTTCTTACACTTGAATTCTGATTATCTTATGGAAAACATTCAAAATAAGCATACAAAAATTGCCTCCACTTTAATTTTTTTTGACGAAAAAAGGGAAATAATATAACAGATGGAAATTTTTATGCACCTCACTGTTGAATAGCCTAAATGATGTCCACATTACTTCGAGGTTTTAAGGCAATTTACTCAGTTTCTTACTGAGCATAAACTTCTTCACGTGTGCATAAATCAGGATACCTGTGTGTGCGTGTGTATATGTGTGTTTATGTGTCTGAGCATTCCTAAGCATATCCATTCGACATGTTTATACACACATGACCTAGTGTTCTGACCCATCAGTTCTGTTTCTTTCTTATCTTTTTTTCTCTATTTCAGGAATAAAGTTATGTAACAATCACACTGTGATTGTGTATTGAATAATGACGGGTGGGGGAGAGGTTAGGAAAATTCCAGTGTTCATTCACACATAATTATAAACATATATAATGGTAATGACACGGAGAAAATCATGCATAGATAAATCGTATCTTCAAGAGTAGAATATTAAACCATCTGGTTTCTCTTTAAAGAAGAAAATAGTTTCTACTTATTCGTTAATGGAAGATAACAGTAACTTTGACAAAACCCTACTTCTACTCTTGGTAGTAGTAGTGATGATGATGACGATGATGCTGAGATTACAGCTGATCAGTACACAAACCATCTGTTCTTTTCCGCATAACACAATTGTTTTACCTTTCTCCTTACGCTGTTTTGCGTGTTTATCCGAATTAAAACTTTAGTTAAATGACGCATATTTCTACATCATCTGCCTCTACTACTATTATTATAACTGCTAAACTAGTTCAGTCAAGTAAAGCAAAAAGAAGAACTAAGTAGGAAATACTAACGCCCTACTGATTACGTAACAGATTTTACTATTGAACAGGTTAATTGACTTTTATACTAAATCTAATGTTTGATCAATATCAAGGTAGAAAATGAATATATCAAGAGTTCATCTAAAAATTATTTGAGATTCTTATAGTTAAAATGTCATTTCCGGTACTGTATCTGATAACAATTGTTAGGTAGGTTAAGATGATGTAAGTGTTAAATAAGATTGCAATCTTGTAGTAATGATAGATAGAGATTAACAGTTGAATCTACAGTTCATCCCCTGCTAGTCACTATCCATCATTATTATACGGTTGAAACGACATACAGTATCGAGGCATCCGAGCAGCAGCCCATATATTAATGATAGCTGATGAATTCGGTCTAGTCGGCGACGGGATAATACAGATAACAACATAAAACCATAATCTGTTTTAGGGTAGAGTCAATCACTACCACCCAGTATTTCTGGATGAATTCGGCTTATGGAACCAACATGAACTTTGAAAAACTTCAAAAACCGGAATGTTCAACAATATCGTAATACCTGATGTTATGAAATTGAAAAGAATTACCAGGAAGCTATGTTCTGAAGTTTAACGATAATTTTCATCCACCCATAATTTGAAAACTGTCTATTTTCTATCTTTATTCTATGTGATTCAGTACCACAGACATTACAAATGGGCCGCCATGACAACTAATTTGGTAATTAGATATTACCACACTGTATGTTATTCACTTATTCCATTTCAACTCGATGCTACCACTTTATTCTTCATAATGTCATTGTTCTAAAGGAGCAATAATCTTTTATCTTGAACACAGTAGTATTTCGGAACCATATTTCACATATTTATGGAATTCTTATGTGCAGTGGCTAATCCTGGGGTTATTTTTGACTCAAGTTTATTGGAACACTTTATGCATTAATGGTGCAATTATTAATAATTGTTTAGTACTGTGCTTTTCTAGACACCAATCTGTTTTAAACGTATCATAAATACTGTGTATGTGTTGTTTGAAAA